CTGGCCAAACTTGAAGGATGTACTTCATCTAGGGAGCGAGACAATTTATTTTTAGTTCTCAATACATTTCTTTGTATTTTTCACGCGCGTCACGCGCTGATGACCCCGGAAATTTCAAAGAAATGTATGGGGAACTAAAATTGAGTTTACTCGCTCTCTAAATCAAGTACGCCCTTCAAATTTGGCCAGTTAACTCCTTTTTACAGTATCTAACGTTTGCAATTGATAACTCTTTCCGAATTTGAATTCATCAGCTGGAATTATTTGGCATCGATTTTCCGGTCATTCCTTGTTATTTTGCGACAATATGCAGACAATATGCCTACGGGTCCAAGATGGCAGCCAAAACCGTCACCTCATCTATTCAGAGCCGTATTCGCTCTCTTTTGTTCGTGTATAAACTGGAGCTTCACACAAAAAATAGACAACGTCTATTTTCTAGAGAGAAAATGGCGAGAAATATGTTGAATGTCATTTTGGTTAGAATTGTTTTACCAGTTATTCAACTATCTTTCGTATTATACTGGATTTTAATTAAAGTAAGCCTAGCCAACAGTCAGATGGAAATAAATAGTGATGACTTGTTGTGATGAATTAATAAGTAGCTTACCGGCCAACAGATTCAGCAATTAGATGGCGCKKKGAATTTGTTTTTATTCCAAAAATTTAAATTCAACAAATGTCAAGGTGTATTCTAAACTTGAGCATCACCTGGTACAAAAAACATGAAAATATAGAATAAACCATCTAAATAGTGATGTCAAAGTATTGATTATCGAAGAGGATTAGCTATCATAGATTGAGCAATTAATTCTTAACCAATCAGAGAAACTCTTCTCAGTGAGAGTGAAGGTCGGCTTCAGATTATTGCAGCTGGGTTATAACTTTCTTCTATTTCTTCTCTTTTGCAATCATTAATATATTGAGGAAGCGGCTAGATTCTTGAAATTTCTGGAAATTCAAGCTCGAGTGCTTATCATTCTGCTGAATCATTCATTAACACTCATTAACACTCCATTCATAACACAGTCTTCTCAGGGATCTCACATCAACCAGTAGCCGAAGACATCGATTTGTAATGTGGCCATTTGTATTGTTATTCGTGCTGGAAGCAGTCGTTATTGCGACAGCAAATTCTGCAACCATCGTCATTTTCACGAGAACCAAGCGTCTCCAAATGAAACAGTACATTATGATTATCAGCCAGTCTGTAGCTGATCTCTTCGTTGGCATCGTGTCTGTCCCCATGTTTATTGTTTGGWYGTTAGTCCAGGAAGACGAGGCATATTCAACGTTAATTACAMATATTTTCTACATGGAAGAGAGTTTCTTTGGTGGGGCTTCCTTATTTGGTTTGGCAGCGTTGGCCATTGAACGTGCACATGCAACATACTTTCCATTCAGACACTCCACATTAGGTAAAGGACCGTACATCATTGGGATAGGCTCTATGTGGACTCCTCCATTCATCGCGATCATTTCAAGGATATTTATAGAGAAAAGAGTGTTTGAAATTGTGGTTATGTCATTTATTGGATTTTCACTTGTGATMATTTGTGCTGCATAYWCTCTCATTGCATTGAAAGTTCGTTGCACTRCGTCTCGAACCASTTATGATGTARCTATCCAAGAAAACAAGAAACTAACTGTCACTCTTGCTGTTGTAACCATTCTGAGCCTTGTAATGTGGCTGCCTTTCCAATTTCTTGCAGGTGTTGGTTTTAAWGTTTCTCTGTCTGTTCTTTATTCTGTGAAATTCTTCCAATATGGCAACTCACTCATTAATTCTGTTATCTACGCATTTCGTATGCGTGAAGTCAAAAGAGAAATCTTTCGAGTATTTCAGTGTTGCCGTGACAACCAAATCTCAATAAACAACTAAAGACAACTTGGGAATG